ACATTTTTTGATACTATTTGAAGGTAGGCTCTAATTTGATTGTTTAGAGCCTACCTTCAAATAGTGTCGAAAAATGTGATTTCAATGCTGGAAATCTTTTTGATAGCCTTAAAATATATTTTCATCTTTATTTATAAAGTTTAAAGCTTAAAAAATAGTGTAGATCAAACTTGAAAATCTTGAAAATTTACTGTCCAAAAGTGCCTTACAAAATACACTATTTCCAAAACTTGAAATCCTTTTCTCTCATGTCCATGCATCTTGATGTCGAGATGATGAATTTGAAGATATTTGGGCATCAAAACAATCTAGTGAAAATTTTGAGGTAGGCTTGAATTTGATTGTTTAGAGCCTTGGCTCTATATAAACTTTTCAAACACCAAATGATATCGTTAACGTCAGATCGGCTCAGATTAAATCTGAACAGTTAGACTCATATGTTTATATGAGCTTTTGACATAGATATATAGAAAAGTCAAGTCCTACACCTATGTAATTACGTTTTTAGAGATCCATGCCAACTTTAATAGTGATCATTTGGTGTCCTACACATATAGATGGGGGAAGGTCTTTTAGGATCATTACTCTATATATATATATATATATATATAAGAATTTTGAAAAAAAATCCAGCCAAAAGATATCTACGGAAGGATTAGGATCAATGTTAGTAAAATTTCCTACAGCTTCTAGACATAAGACAGCCGTCCATGTAAACGATGCACGCAAGATATCCCTTGTTAGTATCAGACGGCTGAGATGACGTGAATATCTGTAGGAAAATTGACGAGAGTCATTGTATGAAAAGACCCGCCCTTTTCAATTTCAGGCAGTTGATCAACCCACCTGTAAACGTTAATGGCTTTCACCTACATTCCAACTTCTCAAAACCCTAGGTCCATTTAGGCTTTCAGAAACCCTAGATCCAATTTCAGATCTAGAAACTCTGATTCCTCTTCACATTGTGGAGATGCTCTGCGTTGTCCCTGTAAACTCCCTGTGAATTGCTCGGAATCAGCTGCCATGGCGTCTTCTTTTGCCACCACTAGAGCTTAAGAAGACTGACAAACCCTTAGATCCGTTTCTCAGGAAAGGTAATCTAATTTTCGTTGACTATTGAATAATTTGCAGAGTCTCTGGGGAAACAGTTGATTTAGCTACAATGGCGTCGTTTTTATCGACTGTGCGACGTGTCTACCTTACAATTTACAATTGGATGGTTTTTGTGGGCTGGTAAGAGTTTCTTTGTCAATCCAAGTTAGAGTTTTGATCACTTGGTTTTGTATTATGAAGGAAATAAACCAGGAATATGTTCTAGTTTTTTTGTTTAATTCAATTTATTTGCATCTTTTATTTTTTTCTGATTAATATGAAGATAAAATCTTGCTCTCTGTATTATGGAAAAAGTTAATTACAATTGTTTGGAGTATGATTAACTAATTGTGTTATTATATCCAAGATATGATCACAATAAATTTGAACAACTCGAGAGTTTTTTTTCAACCAATTGGCATGATAAGATTATCTATCTCGTGAAATTTCTGTATTTTTTTCCTATTGTGTTTCATTTTTTTATTGTTTGAAGCATTATACTGTGAAAGAGCTGCTTATATGATCTACATTTCACTTTTTAAAATTTTATGTTTTGCGAAAAAGAACCTAAAATTTTAATGATTGCTTGTTTTGTTTTTCTTTTTATGTTTTACTTTTTATGTTTTAATCTTCATCTGTTTCACCATATGCTCTCTTTTTTTTCTTCTAAACAAATTACCTGTTTATTATGGATTTACTGATAACTTGGCTCTCCATATATGCCCTGCTAAAACGTAACCAACAATGTTTGCACATGGATAATTATTATTATTTTTTAAATCAGAATTTTTGTTTTTTTGAGCAGACATGGATAATTATTTATGCAATTGATGTGGATAGCATATCCTGAGATCTTCTGTATATAGTGTTCATTGGGAAGATACTACAAAACGCCTATAGGCGAAAATGAACAGTGATTTCGCCTACCCTCATCACCGTCTAAAGTTCACCGTACGGTCACCATTGTCCAGTAGTATTTCATTTTTCATTTTTTTTCTACCATCGGAATGATTTGAAATTTGGAGCGTGTGTTTATCAAAAATAGGCGAATCTACGAAAATATCAAAAAAATATTTTACATGAAATAAATTGACCAAAATACCCCCAAAAAGTTTCAGGGGCATTTCGATCTATTTGTTTTTTGCGAATTATTATGTTTTATATTTTTCTTAGGTGCGCTTCACTAAGATGTTTTGCGAATTATTATGTTTTATATTTTTCTTAGGTGCGCTTCACTAAGATGTACATACGCTCCAAATTTCAGATCATTCCGATTTGTAGAAAAAAAATGAAAAATGAAACACTACTGGACTATCGTAACAGTGCGTTAAAATTTGGACGATGATGAGGGTAGGAAAAATCACTGTTCATTTTCGCCTATAGGTGTTGGGAAGACTTTTCCTGTTCATTGTGGTGGATGATTCAAATTTTGGTTAATAGAATCAGCTGAATGTAAATGCAAACTTGCGTCTTAGGAATCAGAACCACTGGCTTAGGAACTATCTACTGCATAGATATCCAGATTAGTGTAGATCCGTGATCTCTGCTTGCTACCTCTTATATCTTTCCTTGATTCTTTCATGTGTTTTTTTTACAGGTTTCAGGTTTTGTATCTAGCTTTGAGGACATTGTATGAAACAGATTATACCCATGTGTACCATGCAGTTGAAAAGCCTTTGCAACTAGCTCAGACTGCAGCTGTCTTGGAGGTATGTCAACGCTTGCAGTTTTTGGCAAGGCGACGAAACTAAAGTTTGTGAGAAATTTGAATTTGGATGCCATTTTGGTCATCAAACAGAGAAAAAGTACCATGCTTTGTAGTATAGTGGACATAATTATGGAGTTGGTATGAAATGCCAGAGAGACTTAAACAACTGAGATTGGGGAAATTACGGGCAAAGTGTGGGCCAACTATGTACTAAATCTTTTCCTAATAAGTTTAGCCAGTTTATATTGATGGGATTTTTGTCCAATGTTTTGGTTACTTTTGACCTGATTGTTGATGGAAAATCACCAAACTGGGTGTATTTCATGGAAATCTGATAAGACGTTGATTTCTGGCTGGGATTGGGATTTTTTTTTTTCCTCAGGGCCTGAAGCTGAGCTTTATCATGTTTGGATGCAATTTGATATCCATAATTGTTGCCCTTAGACCAATCTTAAAGTAAGTTCTTACAGTAAAGTTGTGAATTATAGAACTTTTTATCGGAATGACTGGATCCCTCCCATCTCTCTCTCACACACACAATGTTATCATTCTCAAAAAAAAGAGACAGAAGCAGCTGTGTAAGTCATTTTTCAAAAGCTTAGGGAAGTTGCCTTGAATCTTTGTAGAAGGGGAAACATAGCATCCTGCCCCCAATCTCTCATCCTAACACTTTCTCAAACTGCTCAATGTTGTCTCCATAGCTTTCCATATAAGTTTAAGTCTGCTAGGTTCCTTTGCAAAGGAATGGATTCCCTCCCCTCCTCCCCACGGCACTCTAGTTGTTTGTTTATGAGTACGTGCTGCAGGTTTTTTTTTTTTTTAGCCCAAGATTTTTATCACCAGAGGACTATGCAAGGAAAATTAAAAAAGAGAGAGAGAATGGTCCATTGAATATTAATCACAGCATAAGATTAAGGATGGTTTCTGGCACTTCGGGAAACATTGGGGTGTGTTCTCAATGGGACCATTTTGTTCTTTCTTCAGTACCTCAGAGTAATTGGTACTTTATCATTTTTTAGTCGTTCTAACACTTGTCTACCTGGTATCTTTATTTGGAATTGCTGATTGACAGATTCTGCATGGGCTTGTAGGTAAGGAACTTTCCATATTGTTATTACTATTTTTATATCTTTCATGCAAGTATTAGGTGTCTACTTTGTTGTTGATGAAACTGAAGCACTTTATGTACATGTGAAAAGGTTTGGTGAGATCTCCTGTCACAGCAACATTGCCTCAGATAGGCTCCAGGTTATATGTAACATGGGGCATCCTATGGAGTTTTCCTGAGGTATATTATAAGAATTATCTTCTGTTATTGTCAAATGCTGAGTTAGAAGGTCTTCTCACAGTTTCCTGGGACTTGTTTATTGGCAGACTAGGACGCATGTGCTTGTCAGTTCTCTAGTCATAAGTTGGTCAATTACTGAGGTATGAATTAACTGAAGTTGTTTATTCGGTAACTTGTAATTGTATGCGGTTATCTGTTCAATACTTCAATGAATTTTTTATATCCATTTGTTATCTGTTTGTCTAACTCAATTTTGATATCAGAGTTTGTTTACTGCATGCACTTATTCTTTAAGTTATTTTGATGCTGATAAGTTATTATATACTAAAACAACTAACACTTAAAGCTAGCCAGCAGTTTGGTTGAGTATTTGGGGAGATGTTTACTTTGGGATAAGAAAGAACTTACTATTATATATTAGATCTGGCTATTTCTTTAGGAAAAAGTTTATATAGAGCCGAGGCCCTAAACAATCAAATTTGAGCCCACTTCAAAAATTTCACTAGAAGAGGTTGTTTTAATGTCTAAATATCTTCAAGTTGATCATCTCGACATGAGAAAAAAAATGGATTTCAAGTTTTGGAAATAGTGTATTTTGTAATGCATTTTTGGACTGTTAATTTTCAAGATTTTCACGTTTTCATAGATCTGTCGATCTACACTATTTTTAAAGCTTTAAACTTTATAAATAAATATAAAAATATATTTTAAGTCTATCATAAAGATTTCCAAAATTGAAATCACATTTCTAGACACTATTTGAAGGTAGGCTTTAATTTGATTGTTTACAGCCTAGGCTCTATACAAACTGCACTCATTTTTTAATACTGATAGGATTATAATATGATATGATCAATTAACAAGAAAACACCTATCTTCGCATTTCTCTTCCCTCTTCTATATATCCTCCCAAACCCCCTTAGAGCAATTTGTTATTAGAAGTTATCATATACGAACATTTTGTTCTTCCTAGTTTGACTTCTAGTCTTCTATTAATAATTTTTTTTTTTTACATTTCTACTAGGTTGAATACACTAACAAGCCATTCTTTATTTTTATTAGTTATGCATTTTGACACATTGTTTCTTAAATTGCTGTTGTATCATATATGATGCTCACACTATTGCTTTTATCTAACAATGTGCATATAATATTTATTTTGGGATTTTTTCTTTTTATTAATCCTCCATATAATACATATTCATAAATGATGAATTTGTCTGCAGATTATTCGCTATTCCTTCTTTGGCTTAAAGGAGGCACTGGGGTTTGCGCCTTCCTGGCTTTTATGGCTTCGGTAGATCATCTCCACCCAATTTATGTACTAAAGGGCCATGTATCTACATTACTCAGCTCACCTTTTTAGTATTGTTTGCTTACAGGTACAGTACATTTTTCATCTTCTATCCAACTGGTATCACCAGCGAGGTTGGCCTTATATATATAGCTCTGCCCTATATCAAGGTATGAATGGAGAATGTCATGCATGTTTGAGATTTTCTATTTCCATTATCTCTATTTCTGAATATGCTGCTCTTGATCTTTAGCCAAAAGTCTGAGAAAGGTATAGCTTATCTAACCACAGCTTATTATGCTATAGAGTACTTACCAGCTGCAATAAAAGCTAACACCCAGCAAGATAATGTTAGCTGTATTTGTATAGTGGACACCTATAGTGTATGTATGTAAATATGAAACATATGCATATATGTATCTTTGTGTGTATGTTTGTATGTGCACTTACGTGGTTGTATATGTATGTATTGTATGCCTGTGTATGTATGTATGCATGAATGCATCCATAATGAAAGTAGCATTAGATCTAGAAATTTCTTTTTCAAGATGGGAGCTTACAGAAGACCGTTTCCAAAAGATACCTGAAAAATGGAGGTCTTGACTATAATACTAAATATTTTTTACTACGTAATATAATCACCTTTGACATTAAGAACAAATTGATGCTAGAAGCATTACTTCCCCACATCCTATGCTTCTTCTCAATTTTTATGTCAAAGCCTGATTATCCATTTACTAAAGAACAATGCATTAGAGTGCCTTTCCTATCAATTTAAGTTATTAACCATGTTGGGGTGTTTGCAGGCATCTGACAAGTACTGTATCAGGATGCCCAACAAATGGAACTATGCTTTTGACTATTTCTATGCTGCTATTGTGGCATTGGGAATCTATTTTCCAGGCATGAAATTTACCTCACTTTTTTTACAGTTCTAGTCATAGTTGTACTCCCTTTCTATGGTATTTATATTTCTGAAATAGGTTTCTGATTCCAATCAAACTTTGTGGTCTTGCAGGAGGCCTGCACATGTATCTGTACATGATTGGGCAGAGGAAAAAGGCTCTATCGAAGTCTGGTAAGAAGGATTGAAAAGAATTTAAGCTCTTGGAATGCCCAGGGTGTTACCTTATCACTATCCAATTGCAATATTCTTGTATCTGAAACTTCTTTGTTTAGTTCACATTGGTGTTAGTAACGATCCGGATGTAATTTATATAATTTATATAGGTAGAAAGTTTGCTCTGATCATGCTGTCTGTAGTTTCTTTTCTGAAAGTTTGAAAATCGAAATGGTTGTAGGATATTTAATTGTATGATTCATGGGTGCATTATTTCTTGTATGTAGTTTGTAATTCCCTCTAAGATGATTCACATTTGGGTAAATAGGTAGTATCACATGCAACTTTATTGATTTCTGCCTTCAACAATAAGAATATTGAAGCTTGAATTGAAGAATGTAGGAAACTAATAGGGGTGGGGGGGGGGTTGTGATGCTATTATGCAACTCTTTCGATGTATATGTAAAGGTAACCTACTCGTAGTCCCCATATCATTTTCTTTCATTCTAAAAAAGAATCATCATAACCACTTTGAAAAAAAAAAAGGACCATCATAACCTGTTCTTTGTCAGATGTAGTGGAAATCTATGCCGAATTATGGTTGAAGATCAGTATTTGCTATGAAAACATTAGGTTATTTTGTTCATTATTTTAATCGTATCTCAGGTTGTTCTACCTTGTATTTCTTAATTTTCTTCCTTGAGAAAAGGTAATGAACTTATAAATATTGCGGTAAACACAATTCCTGTTTTACTGCTTTCCTTTTTGGATATTCTTTCTTAAAGTTTTCCCTCTTCTTTTTCAATTTTGCCAAGATTCTTTGACGAGTATCATGAGACAAATAACCATCAGAGCAATTACCATGACGAGAGATTGTTCAAGAAATAAATTGTTGCTATACTAACAAGGTCGCACTTCTCATCAGTCATACAACAAACATTCAAACAATGCCGTATGCTTTGGTCTGTTAAGCATGTAAATTCCACCACATACGGGCAAATGCTTGCAAAGATTGAAGCAGTTTTCACTAATGTTTCAAAATAGGTTGTCTTAGTTGGGAATAGCTCAAGTCGGACCAGTATGCGAGGCTGGTGATTGTGGGTTGAAAAGCTTCAGAATTGTTCTAGTCACCTAGTTTTTTAGTATTTTAAAAATTGTTTTTTTTTTTTTAAAAATGTAGCCTAGTTTTACCCAGGATTGAAGTTAGACCAGGTGATCAAAATCAGACTCCTAGCGGGTTTGTGAAACACAGGTTTTCACTGTTAAAGCATGAGGGAGACCTCTGTATAATGGAAAGCTAAACTATAATCCAATAGAGCATGGAAACTATAGACCATTTGGGTTCACCAGCATCCAATGAAATAATGGATGGTGACGGAGAGTGGGACTCATGAGAACAAGTTATGGCCCGATTGGTGGATCCCGCATTCTCTCCGTTACTATCTGTTTTATTGGGGCATGGTACGATGCTTTTCCATAATCCATGTCATAGTATACTTTCCCCAGAGTATTTGCTAGGCCATAAGAATATTTGCTGAGAACAAAACCGGGGGAGTAATCCAAGCCAATGATTAGATAAATGTAAAGGGATCCTCCATGAAAGCATGATAAAGATACTGCATAAAGTTACATAAAAGTTTAGCATAAAAGTTGATTAATGGGACTAGATGCTATATATCATGAGTAAGACTTCAAGTACCCCTACCCAATCTCCGAAACGGGCGGTGTAGGTCATGAGTTGTTCTTCCTAATAAGAAAAGCAAGCGGCTATGAAAGTGGGCTACAACTCATCACCAACTATCTCTGGATAAAAAATGGATGGTAGATGTTGGATCACAGTACTGTATTCCATACTCATATCAAGTATGGGATATTTTCCCTGAATTCATCTGTGTCTTGCCATTTAGCACTTCCCTTTCACCAGTCAAGCAAAAGGCGAGTGACAAATTCAACTGAGGTTAACGAAAGAAGAAGAAATGAAGAAAGCACGGTAAGCCCATGATTGTAGAAGAATATGCATGCCCATGTCTTGCATGGCCTTTATTTACACATTTTCTTTGTCTTTCTTAATCAGTGATAATGCGGTTTAGGAGAATCGGCGAAACATGAATCCACCAGCAATATGTTAAACATGAATCCACCAGCACTATGTTAATGAGTAATGAAGAAACATGAAGCCACTAACATTAGGGATTTCTGTCCCAAGAAGCTATCCCTAAGATCAATGTTCTCAAAGTTGCCCGACTAGGTCAGCGAATCGGCAGGACTGAATCAGTTTCAGGAAGGAGCCCCCCCTCTCCCCCAACCAAAAAAAAAAAAACAAAAGACCAAAAAAACCAAAAAATCTCCTCTTTTATATTTTCCCCATTTTTTGGGTTTTCTAGCATTTCCCTAGGTATTTTAGTAAATCACAACCCATAAGCCCTTTTTTTTTTTTACTTTTTTTTTTCTAATTTTGATCATCAATTGCATAGATGATCCACTCCACCTATTTGTTACTTTAAAGACTATTTAACTTTTAACTCGGATCTTTAAACAAATTGATCTAGTCAACCTATCTATGGTACAAGAACAAAATTGAAACATGCATTATATCATCAAGTTATGGAAAGGTGTATGGCACTCAAAGGAGACATCCACCGTCAGTTTCGATTAGAATTTTTCATTTCATTGTAGACTATTTGGAGTGGGAACCGCTAGGACATTCATGCCCGTACAGTAAATCTGGGACAGTCCATTGGCAGAACAAATAGAAGATGTAGCCTGCAACTACCATATGTCACAGTCCATAGACACTGGCCATGGAAACATTCCGATTCCGTCTGGTTCCCATTCTTTTAATACATTTTTTAGCCCTCGGCCAAGTATGTCAAACTTGACTTGTGGTTGGGTCTCGAGCAAGTCCCGAGTCCGTGGGTTAAACCACTGCATCAACCCTATAGATGATGCCTTGAGTGGGAACATGGTTCCAATTGCCGTGTGGTCCAGGGAATCCCTCATTTGTGAAATTAAGAATCCTAAATACTAAGATCCCACGTAAGATACCGTGTATATAGTTGGGAAAACTCGAAATAGATGAATACAAATATAAAGCTAGCACAAGAACAAACAAAAAACAAAACATAAAAGCACACGATTTATCTAGTTCGCCCTGTAGATTCACGGACTCGGCAAGTAGAAATCTACTATTACAATAAAGATTATAGTTTTGGGTTCAACGGATATACATCTCTCTAAACGTTGGCAAAAGCCTTGCCAATCTTCCCTCCTAAATCCGCTCTCCCGACCAAGTACACCATCAATCAACCTAATCTTTCCCATCGCTATATCACTATTGTAAAGAGAACCTCAAGATACACAATGGGAATACCGCCTCTCTCTAGAAGGTCCTATCTCTCTCTCTCTTGGAGAACTATCTCCATCTTGGAGATCCCTTTTTATGACCCTCAAATCATATGTTTTTTGACTCATTTTTTATAAAAATCACTTCATTCTTGCCCCCCCCCCCCTCCCCCGGCTCAAGATCTTTAGTCTCCACCCGGACCCGATGAAAAACATTGGTGTGTGCTCTTGGAGTAATAGGTTTGGCTTTGAACCTACGTGCCCCCGAAAAAACATAGCAATAGTGATTTTCACTATCACCAAACCTCTAATTATTGTGGCTCACGTACCCATATAACTATTAGATATCATCAAAGCACAAGAACATGGACATTTCTAGTTACTTTTGTGGTATAACGTTTGTTAATTACTTCCATAAGAGCATATAAAAAGTTCAATTGGGCAATACCTGGGTCCATGAAAAATAGTTCAGAATTACATGTTTTTATATGTGGTCAGCATGAAGGAAAAAGGCTTTGGCGGAGTATCCCAAGAAAGATAAAACAAATAAGAAAAAAAGTGAATGCGTAGATGCTTTGTCTTTAAACTCCATTTTATCCCCAAAATAGATAGCTATTTATGGTTTGATAATTGATTTGAATGCAGTGATTGAAATGCAGTAAAGCTTTCTGCCTCACAAACAATGGTGCGGAGTTTTAACGAGAATTCCATTTTGATTATTGTACCGTTTCTTTTTAAAATTCTTTTATTATTATTTTTCTTTTTTCATACCGAGAAGAATTTCTTTTTATTACCATTGATGCAATATCTGAAGTTTATATGTTCTGGTAACTGTTTTTCTTTAAGTTTTCAGTTGATTCCACTCAATTTTCTTCATGTTTTACCTTTAGTTCTAGATTAGCACTTTTTACGTTGTAATGGGTTTTAATAGAAATTTCCACAGGTGTAGCCTTTTATTCTAAACATTTTGGCAATTTGCAATAATATTTTTGTAAAAAGAAATGGTAGATCAGGATTCATGTAACTGATCTCAAATAATTGAAAAAAGACTCTGATGATGATGATTACTTTTGTAAAAGGAAATCCCGAGTTTGTAATCTTGTATTTGGAAGTCTTATACAAGCAAGACCAAGGAACGCATGACCTAAGGGAAAATATTTGAACGCCTTTTATCTTTAAACTTTTAAGATTAGGGTAAGTATCCATACGATTTTTTATTCTTGGTACAAAGAGATTACAATCATCTTTGGTTGTTAGATGTAAAATTGGATGTCTTAAGTTGTACCACGACATGGCTCAAAGTGAAAAAAAAAAAATTTCCAAGCTTTCCGACACATCCAACCATTGAATTTTACATCTGAAAGTTAGAAAGTGTTGCAACCAAAGTAACCGTACTATAATATACAATCCTTGATTTTAAGGATAATCATTTTAATTTATTCTTAAAACTAATAAACCAAATGTAAAGATTGTTATAGGTAAAAATGGCCTCAAAACTAGAATACTTGAGAAAGTATTTGTCATGTTTTTAGGAAATATTATTGATGATTTCTAAAAAGTAAAATCTGATCGAAATACATATGAATAGAATAATATTAAAGGCATCAGTTCTGGTAAATTTGCCTTTCATGTTATTTTTAGTCAAATTGAAACAAATTATGGAAAAGAAAAAACAAATGAGAGAGAGAAGAGAGCAAAAAAAAAAACAAATTATAGAGAGAGAGAGCATTGGCCACGTGTTTGGGGATTTGGAAATAGATGTGTAATATCCAAGCGCGCGTTACGAATCTCCCATAAAGACTGGTTCTTACACTGAAATGACCAAAATACCCTGATCAGGATTTACCCAAATTTCTCAAGCGAAGACATGGATAACCTCATTTTCCCAAGTAAATACCATTCTACCCCCCACCCTTCTAACTAATGACAAAAACGGTGACTCGTCATGGCTTTAAACATCTGGTCAAGGCAAACTCTACACACTTGTACTTGTATCCAAATGGAACTAGCAACCATCCAATTTTGATGATCAAGAGTGGGCTAAGAACAATAATGTTATGGACTGATGCGATTACGTTTGTTTGTCATGTAATAATTAATATATGATATTATTATCGGATCACTTCCAGCTATTCGGATGACTAAATGTCATATGTATAACCCATAGAAACCTCGACCACAAATAAGTGAAACCATGTTCTCTAGAAACTGGATTACACCATTTGATTCAATCAAAAAATGGAAACTAATGTGATCCACACAATGACCTTCAACTAGATTTGGGACCCAAATAAAGTCCAACAGATAGATTGAACTCAGTGAAAATATGCGCCCTGATATGACGTAATTTGTTTGAGATCGATAATAATTCAATATTTTTCATAATTCAATTTTCCCCTATGTCAACTTGATGATCTTAGAAAGTCGTAGGATATTGTGGTCCATTCAGACAAGGAATCCACTGTCCATCCAGACTAATAGCTTATCTCTACAGTCCAATGCATGTTTCTAGGGCCCAGGCTTTACCATAAAAAGAAAAGACCCACCTCAAAATTCCCCTAAAAAATATAGTTTTCATGTTGAAAGAGCATCAAAGTGTTCATCTCAACCACGACTATTATGGATTTGAAAAAGAATATTGATTTCAAGGTTGAGAACTGGTGTATCGTTTTTTTTTTTTGGATAATTTAATGGGGATGATAAGGCCCTACCCGATTTTTGAAATCATTAATGGTTTTTAAATACGTGAGGTGGGAATGAAAATCTAGACCTTAGTTGGGGCATAAATGGTGCTATCACCGCGACCCTAACCCCATTATAAAAAAACTAGTGTATTTTGTTGTAAACATTTTTATTATAAATAGATCTGCATTTTTTTGGAGCCTCAAATTTAATAATTAGAGGCATAATTAAATTTTTAGGCCATCATATCTGCATTATCCTAAAGAGGACTTCGAAGTGTGGCATTAATTTTTATCATAAACCCTAGGACCTATGCTAAATGCATCCTAAAATAATGCCATAAAGGGATTTGAACCCGGACTACAAATGTCATTACACTAAAAGAACAAGGTTCAAGGCATTTACAAAGAAGTAGGATGGGTTTAGCCATTTCGATTAATGATTGGGGCAATTATCTCATTTTCCATTAATTATGCTTATTAATTAAACACAAAATAATCTCCATTTATTTTCCATCTCTTCTTCTTTGTGTGCAAATCTCAGTAAGAAAAACCAAACCATGGATGAAGAATATGATGTGATCGTTTTAGGCACAGGCCTCAAAGAATGCATCTTAAGTGGCCTCCTCTCAGTTGATGGCCTCAAGGTCCCTTTTCTCAACACCATCATATTTGTTTTTACTTTTTTAAAAAAAAATATTATTATTATTTTAATTTCATTGATTGGGGTCCTTGTCTCCTATAATAGGTTTAATGAAATAGTTGATTCATTTTTCTCTGAATTTTTTTTATCCTCTTTTTTTATTTATTGAGTAGATAATTGAATATGAATTCATGAATTTGCATAGTTTCTGTTTTTGTTTATTTGTGATCAATAAACAAATTGTAGTAAAGAAAATGAAATTATGATTTTCTTCCTTTTTTTTATTCTCATTTTCACGGTCATTTCCTAGTAATTTAATTAGAGATTTGAGTTATATGATGTAATTGTTTGAATGCATGTTTTCCGTTGAATTAATGATAATTGTGCTTGTAATCAGATTTCTAAATACAGGAGTAATGTAAATATAATATGATTTGTCAGCATTATCTGGAGTTTTGTTTTATGTACTAAATTAGTGATCATAAAATTGGACCCGCCTTACATTTACTCATTGGAGGGGCCCACCCCAATTCTATATGCCGTCTCATAGATAAAATATTTTTGGTAAAAAACAAATCATAATTCTTATTGTCTCCAACTCTCCATTCATAAACATTGTAAATTAGAGATTAAAAAAAAAAAAACACAACCAGTTGGATGGACATCTATCGTGAGTGAATTGGAGATTTAATAAAAAAAAAAAAAGAAAGAAAAAAAACAACCAGTTGGATCACCTATTCCCAGGTTGATTCACGAGTTCTGACCATTGGAAATTGCCCGGGAAAAGAAGGGCCCAGGGTGACAACCCGACAATCCTAGTTGGGCCGTCCAGAACTTCCGTGGCAACTCGACCGATTTTAAGTCAGTTAAATTTTACAAATTATATTTTTAAGTTTCAACAAATCAAACAAACATCGTTACAGGACTTGCCTCGGCCAAGCGATTCCACTATAGGCTGAGGCGAGTTATTCGGGCGAGTCACTCTTGTATAAGGCCAATAAAACATACAAAAATTATTATTTTTTTAAAATAAAACGAAGGTTGTAAAGTAAAATGAAACCAACATCAATGTTAAAAAATCCAAACAAGCTTACAAAAAAGTGCACAAAAAAGGATTTTTAAAAAATAGATTTATAGTTGGGGATAATTTTTAAAATTTAGAAAGGAAATTTGTTTAAAATACTGATTATGGCGAAAAATTTTCACCAAATTTTGACAAAAAATTCAAATCATACATAAAATGTTCAGAAAACATTCCCATATTTTTTTAAAATTTATGGATTTTCTAAAATTATTTTATGTATTATTGGCCCTTCATACTGTGGTTTAACTTTTAAAATTGTATTTTTTGAAGCACCGGCATAAGTAAAGCAGCTCTTTTAAAATTTTTGGATTTTTTAAAATTGTTTTATGTATTATTGGCCCTTCATACTGTGGTTTAACTTTTAAAATTGTCTTTTTTGGAGCACCAGTATAAGCAACGCAGCTCTTCAAAAGCACTTTTCTGACGTTTTTTATCCTCACATTTTTCTCTTAATCTATAGAAGTTGGACACAGGTTTGGACTCACTAGGGATTTGATCCTGAGCTTCCTGTCTAACTCAGAAAAGTCTGAGTCCAATAGGTGAATATTTAATAAGAAACTTAAAATGATTATTAGGCAATTCAAGACTAGGGCAATTTCTAAAGTTTTTGGCTCTCGATCTGCAGTTGATGAGGATGATTTCAAGTTTGGCTAGGTGATTTTTAAATTCAATAATACATTTTAGGACTAATCCTATATATCAACCTCATCATCGTAACCTTATCCTAACTATCAGGAGTTCTACCATTCGGCTCTATCAAGGGTCATACCCAAACGCTCTAGTTTGGGCATAATATGTTGGATTAAGATTCATGATAGAGATGAGGCAAAAGTTCTCTGCTGACTGCCAACATAATACAACGCCCCTCCTTTGACATCCAGGCTTGCGACTGGCAAAGTTACCAATCCTTCACATCTTTTTCATATAAATTTCGAAGCTTTTGGGGAAAGCATAATATGGGCCATATGATATGGTTATGGACTTAAGGTAAAGCTCGGTAGGCATGACTCATCAACGTCCCACTAATAATTAGGTCCACCAAATATGAAATTCTTGTGTGTCCTACTCCTTGCCATCACTATTGATTGGATGGTGATGACCCTTGTCGCTATACTTTTACTATGATATTTGGATCTTACTATCCTCTCATTTTGCCACCACAACTTATTTCTTAACAGGGAAATGTATAAAAAAAATCTAAGGGATGCATTTACGATATAAGTGGGGAGTTTTTATTTTGTTTAACCATCCCATTACAAAATGTCCAAAAATTATATGCGCCCGCTACAGCATACTGTACATTCACTCCCTCTGATAAAATCCTATCTAGAAGTATTCTGAAGATCCTGAATTTGGAGACATAACCTTCTCAACTTAGTGATCCTCCTCAAAAAAAAGAAAAAACAAAAGAAAAAAAGGAAAATAAATTTATGTAGTATGTTTTGAAAAAAATAACGTAGTGAGCATCTTTTTTTTGACGATCAGACCTAAGTGTCTAAGAACTTAACATTACGTTTTTTTTTTTTTTTTTTTTTTTTTTTTTTTTTTTTTGTAAACTATGCATTCGGTGATTGTAAAGTGGATCCCAAAATTTTGGGTTGAAAAAATTCCTTCTAAGCAGCTATTTCGCTAGAGGAAGTAAGTTTACAATGTGCTCTCCAAGGAGTTCGATCAACTCTCTATGATAAAATTGGTACCTCTAGCAGTCCATTTCATTGAGTCATAGTTGATTCTCATGGAACACGCTCTCAAAAATTACCATTTATCACTATTAATGTTCTACTATACTTAAACTAGTTGTTGTAGTTCCTCATGCTTAACTTGTTATATTCACTATCACCAATTGTTTGGATTTTCATTGTTTTTCTTCTAAAATCCTTAAACTCTTTACATTTATAAACAGGTCCTTCATATGGACAAGAATGACTATTATGGAGGTGAATCAACTTCTCTTAATCTCAACCAGGTACTTATTTGGAACTATCTTCACTTTTGTATACTATGACTCAGATACATACATCTCTATTGGTCTGTACACTACTTCTAAATCACTGATGTTTTCTCTTACAGCTTTGGAAGAGGTTTAGAGGTGATGATAAGCCTCCGGAGCACTTAGGCTCTAGTAGGGAGTATAATGTTGATATGATCCCCAAGGTATCTGTCATTTCAAACTTTAGTTCCACCATTGCTGTCCGCTCACGTTGTTTTTGTGTTTTTCGAATGGCCTTTTCTTTATTGGATCATTGAAAGTGCATGGTTTTCACTTGATAATGGATAGTTCATGACGAGGATTTATCTTTTTAAAATATTGAAAACATCTTGATTCGTGCTAATTATCAAAATAACTCTCACTTTTTGTTCTGTGAGTTTCGGGTTGTTTGGATCCTGGGGCATGCAGCAATGTTTTTAACCCCAGATTTTCTTGGAAAAACATATTTGGCAAATTTTATGCTCCAACACCTGTTATGTCTAAGCACAAAGCAGAAAACAAACATCAGTATTGACAAAATTTTAGCTTCCAAGAACATGTTTAATGAAGAACTGATGAATTCATTGCTTTCTAGTTTACGATGGCCAATGGTGGTTTGGTACGCACTCTTATCCACACTAATGTTACGAAGTACTTGAACTTCAAGGCTGTTGATGGAAGTTATGTATACAACAAAGGAAAGGTATGCTCAGTTATAAGTCACTGCTCCATGTATTGTCTCATTATCAATTCAAATTCATTTCCCTTCTGTCCTATTTTCTACAGATTCACAAGGTGCCTGCTACTGATGTAGAGGCATTGAAATCCCCGCTAATGGGACTCTTTGAGAAGCGTCGTGCGCAGAAGTTCTTTGTGTTTGTTCAAGATTATGAAGAAAGTGATCCGAAAACACATGATGGAATGGACCTAATGAAAGTAACGACAAGTGAACTTATAACGTATTAATCTGCACTCTGTTTGAGCTTTTGCTCTTATCTCATTTCAAATCCTATTTGCAATTCTCATCACTGTCTAGACATGTTTTTCAGAAGTTTGGCTTCAAGTTACTCTTAAACATTTACAGTTTACTGCATGCCTAATTTCTTTGAATGATACCATAAATGCCTCAAACTCTATCGCTACACGAACTAAATTCTATGACTAGTACAAATTTGGATTCATTTCCCCTATGACATGAAGTGTTTTTTGTAGTAGAAAAGAGTTGCCAGAGAATTTTCTTTAGTTAGAACGAGGGTCGAAGCTCCCTTATAAATGAGTTGCTAAGAGAATTTTCTTTAGTGTTTCTGTTGAACCTTAATATGTTTCATCCGTTTATGAAATACCAAATTCAAAGAAAGCCATATAGCTCTTATTTTGTCATTTCAGAGGTATAGGAATTGGAAGTTGGAACACCAATATAATGGAGGAGAGCGCACAGCCACGCAAGCTCAATGCAAGTGTGAAATATTGACCAATATATAGCTTTGGTAGAGGATTTAGATACAATTTATTTGATTCTTTTAGGAGTAAGCAAGTATCTTAGAAGCTGTACAAAAACATGTAATCAGGTAACATAGTGAAACTGAAACAGGGGAGGGGGGACATCGCACCCAATTAGGATCCAAATAGGAAATAATATTCAATTTTGAGGACGACGAGAAGTTTGTGGTGTAGAGTTGAGCTAGCATATTTGGATAATGTGATGAACAACTTCCCGATAGGCTTTCTACTGAACAACCTAGAACATGTGATAACAGTAATAATATTAGATCAGGCCAGCAAATTTTGAGACTTTGTAAGACTTCCATAGTAGGAGTTCGGGGATACCATATGGCTAGCATAGGGTATCAAGATCAAGGTTTAGTCCCTAATAGAGAAATCTTCGACAAGTCAAATGTGTATGCTGGTTGTAAGTTGTTATGGTATAGCTGAATTTTCCTCCCATTTCATGATACCTGTATAAATCTTCTTTTAACTGATCTTTATATATGTCTATAATTTTTCCTTGTTTTAACCAGGAGTATGGATTGAAATAGTTTTCATGGTCAAACATCTTTACCTTTCATCCAGGAAATACGGTTTAGATGCAAACACGGTCGACTTTATTGGGCATGCTTTGGCACTTCATAGAGATGACAACTATTTGGGTGAGCCTGCACTGGATACTGTGAAAAGGATGAAGGTGATATTGCATCTACTTTTAAATAGTAGTTTAGTGCTTGATTTTCTGAATCTAGTGTCTTGATGTGTAAAAGAAGCATCTTTTTTTCTAATTTATATTTTAAATATAAATAAAAGAGGCAGAGTCTTTTGCCGGGGATTTAACCATTGAAGGCGAAATATCATAGTCTATTGGCATTTAACATGGTCCCACTATTTATGCTGTAATACCCTATGCTATTGATACTATGGATGTTTTGATGCCTTCTTGTACACATATTGTCCAATTGCATGTTGGTGCCTGTAGACCCGCCGTTTAAGGATTTGCTTCCTGAGATAGAATTCTGCTTGGTGGTTTAATCATTCATTTTACTATCACCAAAGTAAAAACAAAAACTGAAAAAGAAAAAGAGAGTGAAAAAGCAGCTAACATTGTACATGATCAAGTGAGCATATTGATATACAGTGGACATTAACTCAATTTTTGAATTTATCGGGCATTTCGCTTGACTGGTAAAATAAGAATTTGTTATATACAGTTGACTTTTAACTCAAGTTTTGAATTTATCGCATTTCGCTTGACTGGTAAAATAATAATTTGTTAATTTCAATGCATAATGCAATTTCTCTGCCTTTGCTCTATGTAGCTCTATGCAGAATCTTTAGCACGCTTTCAAGGAGGATCCCCTTACATTTATCCAATGTATGGACTTGGAGAACTCCCCCAGGTTTGTTCTCAGCATATATTCTTTCACAGGAGAAATGAATAGAAACCATTTTCTTCTGGGATTATCATCATGTAATGAAATGATGGATGTTAATGCAGAGTCCATCAGATCCTCCAATGGGTCCATATCTTGTTATGGTGTGTTCCACTGTAAGTTGGTGCACACACCATGACAATGGTTTCAATTAGTACAGTGCATATATATATACATATATTAGCAGAGGTCTACCTCGTGCTTTGACAGAGAAAACTTTTTCACTGTTTTCAGGCATTTGCCCGTCTTAGTGCTGTTTATGGTGGAACATACATGCTTAACAAACAGGAGTGCAAGGTACTCTTTGCATCTAAATATCTAATTATCAGATAAGTCTTAATACAATAGTAACAAAGTTGTTCTCACGGATTTCTCAAGTTTTAACACATTGCGTGGAAAATTTACAGGTGGAATTAGATGCAGAGGGTAAGGTTTTTGGCGTGACTTCTGAGGGTGAAACAGCCAAATGCAAGAAAGTTGTATGTGATCCTTCCTACTTGCCTGACAAGGTAAATACTAAAATTCAATGAATTTACCTTATTGAATGTATCCATTTAAAATTTTGATCTTTTTTTGTGTAAAATTATTTAGTTGAAATCCACGAATGCCAACAGGTTAAGAAGGTGGGGAGAGTTGCCAGAGCAATTTGCATAATGAGTCATCCAATCCCAAACACCAGTGATTCTCACTCTGTGCAAGTCATCCTCCCTCAGAAACAACTTGGACGCAAATCAGATATGTATGATTTTTCCATTCTACACATTTCTTTTACCAGTTGTACTTATAACAAGCATGATTGATAACAAAGATCCGTATTGGATTTGGAAATGGATATGAGAGAGAGAGAGAGAGAGAGAGAGAGAGTG